TGTGTCTGGTCCTGAGAGGCAGCTTTGTTAAAGGCCTCTGACCATGGAGTATCCAGGTGGAGCGGATCCAGATGCACAGATTCCTGAGGGAATCCGAAGGAATAAAGAGCAAGTTTGTGACAAATTGCACTCTGAGTCACAAAGAGACCAATTGGATTTTCTTGGGACTCTTCCCAGACTGCGACTCAGCCTTGGCCAAGGGTTGACTACCAATGGGAAACTCACAGTGCTCCCAGTCAATCCAATGTAGGAAATGAAGATAAACCACATGTTCTTGGCAAAAAGGTCTCAGAATGGAGTTAGGGATGTGCTGGGGCTTCTGGCCACACTTCCTCATAAATATAGATGGCTAACTGGGGAGACCTGATCTGGGGTGGGGTCAAAGCAAGGGCATAGGTCTGGGTGGAGCTCACCAATTCCACTCTCAACGTTCTTATTTTTCAGTGAGCCTCTCCTTCTGAGGCAGAGTGAAAGCAGCCCCTGGCCAAGGCTCCACAGTGACATCAGGATGGTGGGTGAAGGCCCTTACCTTATCTCTGACCTGGACCGGCGAGGTCAGCGGAAGTCCTTTTCGGAGCGATATGACCCCAGCCTCAAAACTATGATCCCAGTGCGGCCCTATGCAAGGTAAGTCAGGATCAGGGTTGAAGGGGGCCAGGCTAGGACTCACAGGAATAATTTCCAGCGTAGCAGGGAGTGGGCCCTTCCTCTGCTGTTCATCTGCTGCTCTGTGTGTTTGTCCTTTTTATTCATCTACTCATCCTGACACTATTCACTTCTCTACCACCCACTTCCTGCCTCTTTGTACCCTTCAGAGAGGGTGACGATAGCTAATGTTAAAGGAGAACTTTCCACGTGTTAGGATCCATCCAAGTACTTTACAACCACACTGGAGCTACTGTCATTTTTAATCTGACAGGAGGGGAAACCGAGGCACCAAGAGGTTATGTAGCATGCTTAAAGTTTATCACATTGTCTTTACTTTTTAACAAGTGGCATCAAACATGAGTGGCTTAAAATGATTTCCACTTATTTAGCTTAAAATTTTATAGGTGACTGAGTGATGTGGGTGGGGACCATTGAGTAGTTCATCTGCCCTTTACCAGGATTACTCACACGTCTGCTGCTTGGCAAAGGGGCTGTGTCCCTGGGTTGGCTAGCTGTTGGCTGGGGCAATTGGGACAATTGGACCACATGGTCACTCAGTGTCTAGCAGTCCAGTTTGGGCTTGGCAGCAGAGCAGTGGGATGGGATTCCAGGAGAACAAGCAAAAGCACGCAGGGCTTCCTGAGACACAGGCTCTTAGTAGGTACATGACTGCTTCCTGATGGCCAAAGCCTAGAGTCAGGGTGTGGGTAAATAGACTCCATGTCTTGATGGAATGAGCTGTAAGATCACATTCCAAGGGCCTGGGATGCAGAGAGGAAGAGTGAATGAAGTTGTCTTTGAACTCCAGGACAGGAACTCAGGTTTCCTGCCCTTCCAGCTCACATGCCTGATGTTGCAGCTATCATTTAACTCAGTGTTAGAAGGAGACCCATGATGTGTTCTCTGAGCACCGGAAGGCTGAGTGACATCTCTATAGACAGGTGACACTGCCCTTCCCTCTCCCAGCTCCTAGAGGCCAATGATACACACATGTGAACCCTCTAAGATGAGAGGTGAAGGTTGGAAGGTGACGGCATGGACTGCTGGCCTTTGTCACAGGGGAGCTCCAACTACTCACTGCTTTAGCCCAGCTTATAATTGCTTTGAGGATAGGTGATGCAATTGGTGCTGCAGCCAGCAAGTGGCTCACTATTCATGTAGCTCAAATTCATGTTTCACCACTTACCAATGTGAGGCCTTGGGCAAGTGCTCAGACCTGTCTGTGCCTCAGGGTTTTGGGCTGTAAGACGGGTTCATAATCAGGCCCACTCTGCAGCTTTCTGAGTCGTTGCAAGCACCAGATGAGGTAATTCAAGACTTTATCATGAGAGCTATCTGGGGTAAACTTCTGCTATGCTCTGGGCACATGGTTCAGCCAAGAACCTGAACGCAGGCAGCCCATTTGGAAGGCGATTCCAAGCAGGGATGAGGGGAATTTAAGGAGCATGAGCCAGGGAAAGAGGAAAATACAGCATGGTTGCTGTGGACAAGGGGAGCTGGGCTCTATCAGGTCCTCCTGGGAAGTGTCCAAGTTTCTACCCGAAGCATATGCAGTGAGAGCATTTCCCCTTGGCCCCCATACGCCACTGGATGGGGTTTCCCTGACCTCCTGCGATTGCAGGCTGTACTCATGCTCATGAGAAAGCTGTGGAACAGTCAGTGAGAAGCAGCACGGCACATATTTGCAGGGGACACTGAGCGTGCAACTTTTATGTGATACTCTGTCTTTGACATTTTTTCGGTTGGATGGTTAATTCCTTAAGGACAAAACATGGTGTTTTCTGCATTTTCTTTTCCTTCATTTCTCTTTCTTTTTCCTTCCCCTTCCTCTTCACTTTCCACTTCTTTCTTCTATCGTGAGGACACCTTCAGTGCCTGCCACAAACACCAAGCTCTCACTTCTGGGACACAATAATTTTCAGTGATTCAGTGATTTTATGATACTCTGTCTTTGACATTTTTTCGGTTGGATGGTTAATTCCTTAAGGACAAAACATGGTGTTTTCTGCATTTTCTTTTCCTTCATTTCTCTTTCTTTTTCCTTCCCCTTCCTCTTCACTTTCCACTTTTCTTTCTTCTATCTCTTCCTTGTCAGCATCCTCTTCTTCCTCCCCCTCCTTCTCCTGCTCCCTTCCATTTTTTGCCCTTCTCCTTTCCCCTCCCTTTTGCCGTCTCTATCTTTTTCTTTACATGATAACAGATATAGATAGATAGATAGATAGATAGATAGATAGATAGATAGATATTAACCCATTCAGCACTCATAATAAATCATGAGTTCGCCACTGGCTCTTGCCCCCTTGGGATGCTAACTCAGGTATAGCACAGCCTCCTCTGGACCTTCCTCATCATCAGGAGGGCAAGAGACACATAACAGACCCCTCTGATTTTCCACCAGAGCAGTAAGTGCCTTCCTTCCCATGAGACACTCAAATATTGGTAAATATTCATCAAGTGATTCATTAAAAAAACCCACTGGACTGTGTAGCATGTATCGACTTGTATGATATACGTACTCCACCACAATTTCAAGCTAAAACATGATGTCACTGAATATGAAGAGATGCACAGTAGCTCACCAGTTATGGCATTTACACCACGCAGATGATAGATGTAAATAACTTCAAGAGGACAGGTAATAGTAAAATAATAAGTGGCATGTTTTGAATACGATTACTTTGTCTTTAAGATCATTTATTTAAATTTAAGATCATTTGTTTAAATTTATGTAACTGAATTTTGAATATTGGCTGAGTTTAAGAACCAATTTGCAAAATTCCTGAAAAGGTGACAGTGGGTTTCATGAGCTAGGATAAGCCAGTCCCAGCACACAGCTGCTCAGAGGGCTAGTGAATGTGGTTACAAGTTCAAGACAGGAGGTCAGGGCAAGGACCCCTGGTGACCCAGGCACAGTGCACATCATATGTGTCACATCTTATGTGTCTGCAGGTTGGCATCCAACCCGGTGGATGACGCAGGGCTGCTCTCCTTCGCCACATTCTCCTGGCTCACACCGGTGATGGTCAGGGGCTACAGGAACACACTGACTGGGGACTCCCTGCCCCCAATGTCTCTCTATGACTCCTCTGACATCAATGCCAAAAGGTACCAGGATTCACTTGGGTCCCCTGGGGAGAAGAGCTCACCCAAGGGAAGGGTCCCGTGAGCCCTGTTGTGGTGCTTCCATTTTCCCTGTGTGGGAATGGTTACCCGAGGGTGCTGGTGACCCTTCTCAAGGCTGCTGTCTGAAATGGGCTGGCTTGCATGTGTGTCAGGGCACAGGCCCTGGGGAGGAGGGGACTCGGCACAGCTGGTGGGGAGACAGGGCTGGTTGGAGGCTCTGGGCCACTTGGCTGGTTTGTGGGAACAGCTTTTCAGGAGGAAGGTGGCTGGAAAGACACTTTGCACTCTGGGTTGACACCCAGCTGGGCTGCTACATGTGGTTCTAGGCATTGGGTTTTGTTGCACTATAGAAACTGTTCTTGGACGTCTCTGGTGGAAAGTGTATTTAGGTTGAACCAAATGAAACTGCCCGTATTTGCCATTTTGACATCATTGGTCCAACAACATTCTCATTCACTATAAAAATGCTAAAGAAACAGAATTTAAGCAGGGACAGGATGTCTACCACACATTTACTCTCCTCCCCAGAGGCTAAACTTTGTTAAAATGTCAGCGTGGCCCTGTGCATAATTTTTCTGCAGAGATTGAACAGACCCAGTGCTACCGTTTTCCACAGAGTAGTTCCTCATCTCCTCTCCTTCCCACTCATGAGTCATGCTTTTGCATTTAAAGAGAGCACACTATAGAGCTGCTGATCACCTTGCCCTGCTGGTTGAAAGTTTATTAAAGACTTTTCTGTGTCTGTGCAAAGACACTTACTTTGTTCCTTCCAGCAGCTGCATCAAATGCCGTGGTTCTGGTGACCCAGAAGGTCTCATGCAGGGGGAAGCTCTCAAAGCCACCTGGGCTTGTTTCTCCTAGAAGTCACCTTATCTTCAGTTACATGTGGTGGAGTACGAGACAATGCACTGCCTGAGCTACTTACATACTGGGCTAAGAGCACCAGCCATAATGCTGCAACTGCTCATAGAATTGTGCTTCTCTTCCTCTGGGCCAACATCTGTAGTCTAGAGAAAGTTACCAGGGAGCACTGAGGGAAAGGGGCCAGACCCACACCGTGGAATACTGAATTTTCCTTCTCTTCTTTGCCCACTGTTTCTTCATCCATTTTTATTGTTTCTTTCCATCGACATAACATCCACTTAGATCCCCTTCTCTCTCAGGCTATCCTCTTCTCCTAGCAGGATCTCATCCACTCCAAAGGCTCCAACCCCAACCACACACTGGCTGTTCAGTGAGATGCGCCTCTCCAGCCCAGGCCTGTCTTCCAGATTTTGAATCCACACATCTTGCACCAGGCTGGACAGCTGCATTGGGACGATTCACAGAGGCTTATCTGTACCTAATGGTGCCCCCCTGCCACATGCATACCTACCCTGGGGACTGAACCCAGCACCTTGCACATGCAAAAAAAAAAAAAAAAAAGATGAAGTATTGGTCTTTGGCTCCAACCTAATATTTGCCTCTTCCTCTTTTCCCATTTCTGAAAAGCCGAGAAGCTGGGATCTGCCTTGCTCCCTTCTCCTTCCTTCCCATATCTAATTCACTGGCAAGGCCTGTTGTCCTGCCCTGTCTACCTTTCCTTGAATCCACTGTCCCATCTGCCCTGCCACTGCTGCCTCTCATCTCGAGGCTGACCACGCCCTGTTTGGCTTCCTTGCTTTTGCCTTTGCTCCCCCAATCCATTGCAGTCTTATCAGCCAAGTGATCTGTAAGAGATGCAAAGTACTTTCTTTAGAAACATATCAAGGCTTACCTGCACTTGGACTGCACACTAAACTCCTTCCGGAGGCCTTAAGATTGGGCTCAGCCTTGCCTGGAACATCTTGTCGGCCCCTCCTGTGCACTCCCGTCACACCAGCCTTCTTGTGAATCTTGGACACTGAGTCTTCTTTGCTCTGGAGAGGGATTTTCTCTGGACTTCTCAGTTGCTCCTGTGTTCTTATCAGAGCTGGTGGTATGGCCCAGAGGCAGGGAAATGAAGGCCTAGGAAGGGTCTGCATGCCAGATATTCATACTAGCTTGTGTCTGGATGTGGTTGCCTGCCCCTCCTGGGTCCCACTTGCCTAGGAAAAGAAGAAAGAACCAATGCTGCCTGTCTGGCAGCACAGTGATGGGGATGAAGGTGGTGTCAAGAGCCCTTATATGGTGTCAGTCCTGTTTCATCTTCCTGATCTTTCGCTATAGGTTTCGAATCCTTTGGGATGAAGAGGTGGAAAGGGTGGGCCCTGAGAAGGCCTCCCTGGGCCAAGTGGCCTGGAAGTTCCAGAGGACGCGGGTTTTGATGGACATTGTGGCCAACATCCTGTGCATAGTCATGGCAGCCATAGGGCCGGTGAGTGAGGTGGCTCCTCTTCCCTCTTCCCTCTCAAGTCCCCAGCTGGGCAAAGTTGGCATCAGTTAATTTCTGTATGAGCTGGTGGGTTTAGTACATTGTCATTATCTTTGTGTTCCTTGGGGGTGAATTTTCATAAAGCGAATCCCTGTCAAGCACAGCAGCAAGCAGTGAAGTTAATTAAAAAGTTTGCCTCATAAAATCAGCTTGCCGACATTATCTGAGGTTTCCTCTGCCACCCTCCACCCTCCAGCAGCCCTCTCTTCTCTGCAACGCACTGTTTTACAGACGGTTCTCATTCACCAAATCCTCCAGCACATCGAGAACGTTTCTGGGAAATTCTGGGTTGGCATCAGCCTGTGCATAGCCCTTTTTGCCACTGAGTTCACCAAAGTCCTCTTCTGGGCCCTGGCCTGGGCCATCAATTACCGCACGGCGATCCGGTTGAAGGTGGCTCTCTCCACCCTGGTTTTCGAAAACCTGGTGTCCTTCAAGACATTGACACATATCTCGGTTGGTGAGGTAAGCTTGTCCAGGCGTCTGACTTCAGAAAACTGACACTAAGGCTTTTGTGCATGTATGAGGTGTGCTTCCTACACAAGCACCTTCCTCCCTTTTGTTTATCCATGTCCTGCCCCTGATATCCCATCTCCTGCCCAGTGAGGTGGGAGTGACTGAAAACATGGAAGGCTCAGAGAAAGGTTGGCTCCACTGGAGCTGAAACATTTGGGAAATCCGGAGTGGGGTTCAGCAGTGATTTCAATCCCTTTGATGGTCAAGGAGGAAACCCAGGCCGTGCAGAGCACCTTGTGGGTATTTAATAAAATGGATTGACTAGGGAATCCAGTAATGCCGATTGTGTAGCACCTGGGCTGCCAAAGTCATAATCAAAAAACCCCTGCCTGCTGTACTTCTGAGCTGACATTTTGTTAAACCTTTTTTAATCCTCAGCAATAAAATCCTTGCTGCTTATTCAATAAAATTTCCCTAATCAAGGGAACTCCAGGTGGTGTGCATTAAGAAAGACTCGCTCCTCTCTTACATTTGCTTTTTCAGGAAATTCAGAACCTCCCATATCAATTATGATTATATTTTGCATGGGACCCTCCAAATAGAAAACTCCAAACATCAATGAGTTAAAGAGAATGAACTTATTTCATTCGATGTAAAAGGAGTCTGGAAGAGTGCAGTCCAGGAGTGGGGTGGCTCCTTCCTCCTTGTCCTAGAATATGGGTCTCAAGGTGGCTTAGGGTGGATGTTATAGATCCAGTCATCCCAACAATGTTTCAGATAGTGAGTAGGGGGAAGGATAGAAAAACAAAGGGATGTGCCTTCCAATGTGTGCTGAGTTCATCCCAGTGTTCTATTTCATACTTTGGCCAGGAGGATGTTGTCTTTTAGCTGGGCATGTTGCTGCCCTGAATAAAGAGAATTGTGTTAGTAAGGAGGGAAAGCAAGTAGATTTATAGTAGGCAGTTAGTGGTCTCTCCAGCATGTTCCACGTAGTCCTTAACCCTTTCTTCTTTGGGATTCTCAGTCCTAAGAGACTGGCTTTTCCAAAATCGTACCAGAATGAGACAACAAAACTCATTAGGCTGGTTCTTTGGTGATCCCCGCCCATTCATTCATTTGCAAAGCCTTCACTTGAGGAAAGGTTTGAGAAACCCTTCCCAACTGGAACTCATATGCTTTCTTTCCAGGTGCTTAACATACTATCAAGTGATAGCTATTCCTTGTTTGAAGCTGCCTTGTTTTGTCCCTTGCAAGCCACCGTCCCGATCCTAATGGTTGTTTGTGCGGTATATGCCTTTTTCATTCTGGGGTCCACAGCTCTCATTGGAATATCCGTGTATGTCATATTCATCCCCATCCAGGTAAGCAGGCCTCTGCCCTTAGAACTGTTTCACAGGTGCTGTGAGCCCATATGCTTTTACTCATCGGACAGAGGCTTTATTTCTGGGCCTGCAGCTGAAGCCAGCACCTTACTTTGGGCTTAAAGGTAGGCGTTCTTTTGGTGACAAAAGAAACGTATAGTTTTATAAGATCTTGAATTTAAACACTCATGGGGAGGTGGGAGAGTTGAGGGTGCTTCTTTAGTCTGCCAAAATCTCCAGCACTCCCCTTGCATTCCAGTAATTATTGTATGACTTAGTTACTTTTTCTCATTGATGAGGCAAAATACCTGACACCCAAAGTCCAAGACAAGGTGGCCCGGCAGAGGGGCATCACAGAGGAGAAACAGTTCATAGGAGGCACAAGGCAGCAAATCAGTGAAGTAGCAAACAGCAAGTGATCAAGCCCTCTTTCTGCCCCTTATATTTTATCCAGTCTACCCCAGGGCAGGTAACACTCACTCCCAGAGTGGGTCTTTCCATTATCCACTCCCAGAACTATGCCAAACCAGTGAGTGGGATAATTTAGTAATCACACACCCTTGATCTCAGCATCATACACTTAATTCCAGCATCACACACTAGATCCAGCCACCTCTGTATACTCCCACCTATCCACACATTAGGCTTTCAGGGGACATCTAGATATAAGCCATAACACTGTATCACCTGCAAGGATCTCCAGCCATTCCTCCAGGCCACACCAATGGCTGCAAACCAAGGGAAAGACTCAAGCTTCTCTTAGAACTATTCCTGGCACTTGTATTTCAATCCTTGGACTTTTAGATGAACTGTAACTCAGCAACTCTCCCTGAACACCGTGTTTGTACCTTGATTCCAGATGTTTATGGCTAAGCGCAGTTCAGCTTTCCGAAGATCAGCAATTTCAGTGACAGACAAGCGCGTTCAGACAATGAATGAGTTTCTGACCTGCGTCAAGCTTATTAAAATGTATGCCTGGGAGAAATCTTTCACAAGCACCATTCAAGGTAGTATGAGAAGCTGCTAGGGAACTACTTACATTGTAGAATGTGCTCTTCTAAGGGTCTTAAGGTTCCCAGGGCCGGCACAGCAGAAGAGGGCTGACAGGAACCCCTGACCTGCTCTGCAGGTCAAATGATTTTTCCAAGGATTATGGAGATCTTATAACAGACCCCAGTATCTGTTCTGATGAACTCAAGGGTGAGTGACACATGATTTCGTCTTTACTGGGGCACAGGGGTCCTGGTACTGACCAGTTAGTTACTCTTTATAAAAATAATCCACTAGCATATTGTGAATAGTAAAGGAGCTGTCTGAAGTTATTTTCTTGATTTAGAAGATGTGTACACATACACGTACACACACACACTCACACTCACACTTTCACATGTATCTTTACCTTGCCTGTGGCAGCTTCATTACGTTTGAACGACCCACTGACTCCACATACTTTGAGCAGACATGAGGATGTGTATGTAGTTTTCTTTTTTAAAAGATGATATTAAGACCAGTTTCAATCACACGTCAATGTAAATCTTAAATGCAGGGACATTTGCATAATTGTTGACATGGACTCAGGTGGTTGGTGGATTAATGATCTGAGTCACTGTTACAACTGAAGCTCTGGATCTACAATTACATGTTTGCACCAGCGTGTAATTGGGGCTAAAGCTGTGTGCCTGCGCTTCAGGGAGTGGCTTTAGAAAACCTGCTTCTGAGCTTGCTGAAGAAAGCGCTCCAGCAGGAACACCTGCAGCTCTAGGGCACTGTCTGAGGAGGCAGAAACACTTCTCACACTCTGAACTTGCTTCAATTCAATTTAACTTGATTCGATTAAATTTTATTCCATCTGACTTAATTCAACCCAATTCAATTTAATTCAAGTCAGTTTACTTCAATAAATATATACCCAATTCCTACTATGTGCAAGACCATGCAAATAATCAGGAAAGGGGCTTACTCTTTTGAGATTAAGGGAGGATGAGAAAACCAAGCTCAAAAATGGACCCTCATTTGTTGGCTGTAAGCTCCAGAATATATCTGGAACCCATCTACTTCTCTCCCTCCCATCACCACCCGATCCAAGCCAGTCTGCTCTCGTGGACTATGATGGGACCATTTAGATGTCCCTCTACCTTACCCTCTTCCATGAAATCCATTATCACCAGAGTGACCTTTAAAAATGTCATTTAGGTCCTGCTAGAAATTCCTCAGCAGTTTTATTATCACTTTTTCAAATTTAGGTCTTTTGAGAGAAATCCAAATTCCTTCATACACTCTCTTAGGTCCAACATGGTCTGGCCCCTTGTAACCTCTCTGACCTCATCAGCTTACCCTGACCTTTGATAATTTCACTCAACTTGGAAGAACTTCCTGTCATGTCCTTTATGCCTCATGCTATTTGCACTTGCTATTTCCTCTGCCTGGATGCTTTTCTGCTCCATGCAGAAAATTTGCACTGTCACGGTGGCTTTGCCTTGATTTTAGACTGTCCTCAAAGTCACTGACTCACAGAGGCCCGCTGTGTCAGTTTCAAATATGTCCACACCTACCAGTGCCTCTTTGCCACTCCCCCTGGTTGTTTCTTTCAGACCACCCATCCAGCACAATTTGTAATTGCATGATTTAGTTATTTATATCTTTGTTGTCTATCTGCCACACTGGAAGAGGGCTGAGCTTGTTTACTTCTGCATCCTCCATCACCAAACACCCACACTAGCCATAGAGTAGACATCAGGTCAAAAGGTGTTGAATGCTTGAACATGTGGCTTAATTATGCTAAAAAGGGAAATATGAAAATTGCCACTAGAGAAAATAAGAGGAGCTGCCTGGGGCTCGTGGGGTGCACACTAGGTCCGGGAGATTAGGAAAGGTTTCCTGACAGAGGTGGCCTTCAGGTAGGCCTGGATGTACAGAGTGCTGGGGCAACTCCCAGGTAGGAGCAAGCGCTTAGAGGTAGATTTGGGGGTGGTGCATAGGGAGAGGGGTCCCTGGGTGTTCTGGAGGTAAAGGCCATGTGGACAGCAGTAGAAATAGATTCTGATTCTGTGTCAGTCACTTAAAAGGTAAATGATTTACCCTGCTAAGGGGGTGTCCTCTTCTGATAAGGGGCATCATAGCAGCCCCTCTCCAGTCACCATGGTGAGAAGGACCTGTGAGCTTGTGCTGTGCAATGTCAGAGGAGGGCCTGGTGCCCACTGAGCCCTGTGCAAACAGCTGGGCTGTTCTGTGGCTGGCATGAAAGGGGCTGTGCAGACCAGGCTGCAATTGGGTCGGAGGCCTGTAAATACAGGCAAGGAGGCTTTGATTTAAATTGTGTTGTACAGAGTCCTGGATCCCTTACAGACTTAGGAAAGGGAGAGATGTTCTTGAGATTTTGCGGCTGTTCTTGGGACACTGGGCAAGGGGCCACAATTACAAACATTCTTCAATTCATTCCTAACATTTAAAAGTGAAAAGATAGCTAACAGAAGTCTGGATCTCAGAACATAGAACAGTTGAAGGCCTGGTAAAATGAGGCTCCCTGTCTCGAGAATTGGCTACCTATTTACTGAGGTCTGACTGTGCATTTGTCACCTTACACACATCGCTCTGCTATCATCCTCTGCCCACTTCTGTCATTTACAACCCTGGCCCAGCCCCTGTAGGCACCTGAGTCCATGCTCTTAACACATCGAGTAACAGGACTGGAAGGGACCTTGGACACCATCCAGTCCTGGAGGCTGATACACACTAACCTACTACTCCTTCTGGGTTTGTGCTGAGGCTTTCTGTACTCTTTCCATTTAAACTTCACCACAGGACCCTTTAACCCTCATTTGAAGGAGGATCAGGCAGAGCCACACATTTCTTAGGGCTGGTGCTTGATGTCCAAAATAAGACCTCCTTGACTTGTTTTCTATTTCACAGATATAAGAAAGAGGGAGAGAAAGTTGCTGGAAAGGGCTGGTTATGTCCAAAGCGGGAGCTCAGCACTGGCCCTCATTGTATCCACCATAGCCATCGTGTTGACTTTCACCTGCCATGTCCTCCTGAGGCGCAAGCTCACTGCCTCTGTGGTAAGGACCAGCTCTAGCTGGGCTCCTTTGTAGCTGGTACCAGAAGGCCCAAAGGAACAGGGGCTTCCCACTTGGTTCAACACCAGCATCAGAACACCCAGTTCCATCGTTTCTCGGCCTTTGGGCTAAGATCAAGTGTAGAACACCCAGTTCCAGGTAGCCAAACTGTGCCCGACTTCAACCCCAACTTTCAAGCAAGTGCTTGGGCTGGCAAAGAGCCAACGAGACCCTGACAATGGTCCTTACCCTGTCTTTGGCAGGGCAGGTCATAGTTCACTGGAGAGAAAAATGGAAAGTAAAATAGCTCCCAACTGTTTTACTCACATGCTGTGCACGATTGGAAGGAGGGAATGTTCTCTTGCGGGGAGGAGTTGGAGGTGTTGGGAGAGCAGTGGTATTGGCGTCAGAGCCCCCCACCTCAGCTTAGTAGCCAGGCCTGCCCTATTTAAATCCTGAGTCTCTGACTTCCTAGTTATGACTTAGGGCCAATCATTGAGTGACTGTAGGTTTGGTCTTATTATCTGTAATCAGAATGATAATAGTCCCTGCCGCAGAATTCTAAAAACTGAATGAGCTGCTTTATGCAAAGCATTTGGAATCACTCTGACCCTCAGATGCAGTCTCATTGTTTGCTGTTCTTGTTAGCCTGGGTCTCAGCCAGACCAAGCGAAGGTGGGTGTAAACCTCAGAGGGGAAATTGGGATGAATGGGAGGTGTATCCACTTTTTTACTTGGGACCTGAGCTAGAGGGAAAATGGCCCCTGGCTTATACAAAGAAAGAAAGAAAAAGAGTAAGGAAGAAAGAAAGAAAAGCTAAGATTTCAAACCAAGTGCCTGCAGGACAAGCAGTTGCAGGACACTTAAAAAAGGCAAGGTAAAAAGAAAAGGGAACAAAAAAGTATTACTGGTCTCACAGAGGAAGAATTGTACAAGAATTCTGAGAAGCCGGGATGTTCTTACTGGGCCGACTCTGTGGGGCTGTTAGTTGCTTTCCTATACTCTGTGTGTGTGGTGTATATGTACACGTGGGTGCTGTGTTTATTTTTTCAGATACTTTAGCAGATAATGCTTCCTGCCTACTGTGCTGTTATCATACTCTAGGGCTTTGAACCCAGCTGTGAACTCAAAGCCAGAATGAATGGCAATAATGTACTGGAGCCCGAACCGAACATTGTACAGTTACTGTGGCTGCTGTCTTATGACCCCCTCAAAAAAGATACTTTTTATCCAGCAGCAACACATCAAGCAAATCGATTTGAAACCACATTAAGTACATGTGGTTCATATTTTCTAACATGATGGTTTCGAAGAAATCTAGACCCAAACCAAATTTTCTGAATGCAAAACTTGTAATGCCTTCAGATTCAGAACTGCTCACAGGCCTTCCCTCGGTGAGGGCTGCATCAGTAGGAGGTCAGCTCCGAGGTGCTGTTCCTTTAGGTAGCGTGGCTGCTCTATCCATCAAAGACCAGGCTTCTTGAGCCAAGGAAGTTCTCAGGGGGCCGGAGGGAGTAGCGTACCCTTTGGGGATGTATTCAGGACTGGAGGTGATGGAAGGTCTTTCACCATCCTACTAATGAAATAACTAGATTTATTGAAGCCGGGGGCCCTGCCTGTGGGCCCTATTCAAAGGCAGCCAGGTTCTCTCAGGGTTTGTTAAAGGAAGTTGTGGTATTAATTTCTTAAATGGCTGGCTAGAGAGGGACTGCTAATTATATATCAGACAGAGGAGCTGACAGAATCTGAGAGATGGGTCATGCACCACTGGGGAAACAGAAAGGGAGGAAATCTGTCTTCATTGAATTTCTCTGGTGTTTATCCACTAGGCAGTTCTCAGTGGAAAAGACCTAGTGAAGACAGGAGTTGACTTTTATGGGAAATGCTATTGAATAAAAGCTCTCAAGTCTGGCCTTGCTATATGGGAAGGCAGGGCCTAGAGGCCAGGCTGTGGGAGCAGGAGAGCTCGAGGCCACTCTTTAGCAGATAGAAGGGGCAAGCAGTTCCTCCCCACTTCCATCCCTGACCCCAAAGGTCCAGATGCCCCTAAAGATCAGAGAGAAGGGCGTGACCTAGGGACATCGGCATAGACTTTTGAATAAACGCCTAGGTTTGAAGGAGGATGTGGTATAGATAGAGATTTCTAAATATATTCAGCTAAGGTCCTTCCCCAGATGGTCTCCCTCCTGAATCAGTGGACACAAGAGGACATATTTCCAACTATTTCAATGGAAATTCAAAAGCAAAACAGATCAAGATGCTGCTGTCTCTAATTTGCCAACCCATAGATCCTAGGCCATGAAACACAAAGGTGTTCCTCAGTGAATCCGACTGTGCCATCACCTCTTATCTCAGAACTTTAACCCCCATGGATAGAATTGTTTAGAGCCAAGGCCACACCCCATCCTAAACCTCATACTTTTTTTTTTGTTGTTGTTGTTGTTGTTGTTCTTCAGGCATTTAGTGTGATTGCCATGTTTACTGTAATGAAGTTTTCAATTGCAATCTTGCCTTTCTCAATCAAAGCCATGGCAGAAGCCAATGTCTCTCTAAGAAGAATGAAGGTATAAGCAACTCTGGGTGAATAGGGGAGAGAGAGAGAGAGAGAGAGAGAGAGAGAGAGAGAGAGAGAGAGAGGGAGAGAGAGAAAGATATCTTATTTCTGGGTAGGGAAACACTTTGATTTGGGTTTGCTGTACCAGTCCATTGGAGGGCTGGATCACTTGTTGGATAGACTTTGGGAAAAGGGTGTCCATTCAGAGTTGAAACAATAAACACACAAGGGAGGGAACAGTCAGAGATTTATAGGTGGTCTCCTCTTGTAGGAAAAATGAGATAAGTCTCTGCACATGGATATGATGTTCCTGACCTCTACTCTTGATCCAGCCAAGAACCCTAAGTTGTCCCAGCAGTGGGGTTGGGTTTGCGTTGGTGCAGTGATGGGAGTGATGAGCGGGGTGGGAGGGGACCACACTGATGTAGTTGGTCATTTATTTCCTCTTTATTCATCGAAGATTTACTGCATGTCTCCTATGTACAAGGCGTACAGGAAATGCAAATATAAGAAAGAGAATCTTTACCCTCAAAACCTCCTGGTATGGAGCCAGGTACCCTAGATATTTATGTGCATGGTAAGGGTATAAGGAACACACAGGAAGAGCAGGTGAAGCAATTTTTTTTCCTCATTGAGTTTATTGGTACCTTTTAGGTATACAGTACAGTTACATTCATCATTGGGATCTTGTACCTTTACATGACAGATCTTGGTTCTCATTTTTTCCCTTTACCCCTGCCCTCCCTTCACCCCCTCCTCCCTTCCCTATTTACAAATACTTTATTTCCATTTTCTCATATTTTTTTCTTTTAGCTTATTTCCTTTCCCCTACCTTTCCCACTTCCCCTACACCTTTAGCCCCTTTCTTCCTATTTCACTTTGTCAATTATACCATCATACAATTATAGTTTTTCATGCTATTTGGTATTTACACATGTGTGACTTATTTATTTCACTTAAGAGTATGGCCTCAATATGCATCCATTTTCCTATGAATGACTCTAATTTCTCATTCTTTATGGCTGAGTAGTACTCCATTTTATAGAAAAACCACATCTTCTTTATCCAGTCTCCAAGGTGAAGCAATGTTTAATTTCAAGTGAGGGAAGGAAAAGGAAAAGGGCATTTTAGTCAAGAAAAGATGTTTCAGATATCTGCATCAATCGAATGGTCTTCACCCAAGCCAGAAATCTGGAAGTCATCTTCCGCATCCTTGTTTCCTGCCCCTCTTTCTGACTCACTTTCCACAGCCTACAAATCCAGAGCCTTATCGAGTCATCTCCTGATCACCATATTTCCTCAGTTTTTTCCCCCATTAAGTTTACTGGTACATTTAAAGCAAACAATACAATCACATTTATCATTGGGATCTTGTACCTTTACATGATATGTCGTGGTTCTTATTTTTCCCTGCCTTCCCTTTACCCCCTTCACCCTTCCCTATTTACGAAGACTTTGTTTCCATTTTTTCCCTTATCTTCTTTTCCCCTCCTTTTCATTTCCCCTTTAGCCATTACATTTCCTCAGTTTTAAGAGGAACCATTGCAAGATCAGATTAGAAGTTGCACTGATAGCACTTTTTAAAAAAATTCATGAATTTTGTTGATACATTTTAGGTATATAATACAATCACATTCATCATTGGGAATTTGTACCTTTATATGATATATCTTGGTTCTTATTTTTTCCCCATTCCCCTGCTCTCCCTTCAACCCTCTACCCCTTCCTATTTACAAAAAATTTGTCTCCATTTTTTTCTTTTTCTCATATATGTTCCTTTCCCTCCTTTTTTTTCCTGTACCTCTTCCACTTCCCCTTCCCCTGTGGACCTTTTCTTCCTATTTCACATTATCTGTTATGCATTTTGATCCTTATCAATACTTTCAGTTTCTCACATCAGAGAAACTATTTGATATTTACACGTGTGTGTCCTATTTATTTCACTTGAGTATCACCTCAGCATGCACCCATTTAACTATAAGTGTCTTTAGTTTCTTGTTCTTTATAGCTGGGTAGTACTCCATTTTATTAAAAAAAAACCCCACATTTTCTTTAGCCAGTATGCAGTTGACAGGGAATTGGGCTGTTTCCAAGTTTTAGCTATTACAAACTGTGCTGCTATAAACATGGGTGCACATATATCACAGTGGTATGAGTCTCTTAATTCTTTTGGGAAGATACCCAGCAGGGAAATAGCTGGGTCGAATGGGATCTCTAATCCTAGTTATTTGAGGTATCTCCATACTGATTTGCACAGTGGTTGCACCAGTCTGCACTCCTATCAACAGTGGAGCAGTGTTCCTTTTTCCTCACAGCCCTGCCAGCACTTGTTATTGGTTGATTTCTGGATAGCAGCCATTCTTTCTGGAGTGAGGTGGAATCTCAGTGTTGTTTTCATTTGCATCTCTGGATTGACCAGTGATGTTGGACATTTTTTCATATGTTTATTTGCTGTTTCTACTTCTTTGTCTGTGAAATACCTGTTCATTTCAGATGCCCATTTTTGGATTGGATCTTTAAATTTGTGAAGTCTGATTTTTTAAAGTTCTTTATATATTCTAGATAGACCTTTGTCTGAGGAACAGCTTGTAGAATATTTTTTCCCACATAGTGATTGTCTCTTCACTCTGTTGGTGGTTTCTCTTGCAGTGCAGAAGCTTTTTAATAAGATGAGATCCCAGTTGTTGATTCTTTGTGCTAGTTCCCGTGCTACTGAGGTTTTGTTCATGAAATCTTTTCCTACACCAATGTCTTCAAGAGTTCTACCTAACCTCTCTTCCAGCTGGTTTAGTGTTTCTGTTCTGATATTTAGATCTTTGATTCATTTCAATTTTAGTTTAGTACATGGTGAGAGATATAAGTGTAGTTTTAATCTTTGGCAAGTTGAAACCCCAATTTTCCAGCATGATTTATTAAAGAGGCTCTGATACCACTGTTTCAACAAGAAGCTGGCAAGGAGCAAGAAGCTGGCAGGGAGCAAGAAGCTGGCATGACACCATCACATTCATGGTGTATGCTGTTATATCAGGAAAAAACTTAAAGGTGCTTCTTCGGCTAGAGGAGGATGTCATTTCTTTAGTCCTCAGCCTCTTCTCTGTTCCAATTGCTACCACCTTTACTCAGGAGCTCCATAATTTGCACCTGGACTACCACAGTTGATTTATGGGCCAGTCCTCCTTCCCCGGTGTTGTACTCCTCAAATCCATATGGCACTCAACCCCCAGAAATCTGTTAACGTATTTGAATGACTGCTGCTCCAAATCGTGGAATGCTTGTCCCTTTAGGACAAAGGCCCGCCTCCATCGGTGGGCCCTTGACATTGCCTCCCCTTTGTTTCCCATCCCCTTCCTATCTTGAGCTCTATGACTTAGTAATCCTGAATTTCTTGTTTCATGGCTGGGCCCCACTCTAACAACCATGCTTTTGCATGATTTTTTGCCTTTGCCCATGCTGTGCCTTCCACTAAAACTCTCTCTCTCTCTGTCTCTCAACTTTGCCTATACAGCATCAGTACAGACTTGGCTCAGGCACACACTACATAGACTTCCAGGATGGAGAGCCGAGTGTCCCTTCTTTGGTGATTACAGTGCTTTGTTTTGTCACATTTCACTAAAATGATCTGTGCATCTTCCCATCTCCTCCCAGGTCAGTCTCTCGGAGGACAGGGCCCATATATTATTTAGATTTGCATTTCTGCCATTTACCCCATTTTTTGGCACATGGTAAGCACTGGACAAATTTTTTTTGAATGAACTGAGTGGGAACCTAGAAAAGAGACATAGCAGATACTGAGAACATGACCTTGGCTTCATATGCATTAGTGCCAAGCAGTGGTCTGTCCCTGGCAAAGGCTGACTATCTTGGACACAAGAGTGGAATATGGCTGGTATAAGCATTCTCCAATGTGGGTGACCCACATAAACCTCATGGTTATAGAGGCAACTGTCCCCAAGAGTATGAGCTAGTTGACTCTTTCTGCTGCAGCTTCTCCTGGGGAATAACCTCAGAATTTCTTTCTTGAATGCTCTGGGTAGAATTGCCAAGGTTGTGATTTTGTGTCATTAGAAGATATATTGGTAGGATTCTCACAAATGTATGACTTCTGCTCATTAACCATATCTCTTTAATCTTAGAAAATTCTCATAGCTAAAAGCCCCTCATCTTACATCACCCAACCAGAAGACCCCAATATCATCTTGCTTCTAGCAAATGCCACCTTGACCTGGGAGCAAGAAGCTGGCATAAAAAGTGACCCAAAGAAAGTGCAGAACCAGAAAGGGCACTTTTTCAAGAAACAGAGGCCAGAGATATACACTGAGCAGGGTCCATCAGCCCAGGGAATTGCTAGCCATGAGGAGCAAAATGGCAGCCCCAAATCGATTCTGCACAACATAAGCTTTGTGGTGAGAAAGGTGGGTTTGCCAATCAGTTTACGTTGCTTTTACAAAGTATCTGATCAATTAACTTACGAAGAGAGAACATTTATTTTGGCACATTGTCCGAGACTGTGGGGGCGGGGGGCGGTCCCATGGCTTTGGGCCCCTGGGAAGGGTAACACATCATGGCAGGGAGTGTGTAGCAGAGCAAATCCCTGACGTCAAGAGACAAGAAATAAGAGATAGAAGACGTGTAAAGCCCTTTGACCTGAGGACATCCCACAAGGTTCTTCCTCCTAAACATCAACACCCCACCCAGTAGCACCACCCTGAGGACTGAGCCTTTAACATGGTGACCTGGTGGGTTCTAAAGGTATAGGCTCCATCCCTCCTCCTTATATTGCATAGTTATGGCTTTCTCAAGCCTCTTAAAAGTCAAGTTGAGCTGCAGGTGGTAGTGGGAGGTTCTCCTGGGACTAGGAGGACCAGTTTTAAAACTGTGTCCATAAACATAGAAGCCCTCTTCCTGAAGCTTAGAGAAGACGGTTTCATGTTAGTATTGACTTTTATGGAACCAATTGCAGTTTTGAATGGACAGTCCATTTCAGATGGTTAGCTTAAAGTGACTAGCTTTCATAAATCTTTTCTGGTTAGTTCTGAATGTCATATTGAGGTATTAAGATAGATAATGATAACTGACCAGTAGGAGCAGTTACCATTTACCCGGTATATAATTAACTCATTTAGCCATTCAGTAACCCTCTGAGGTAGGCACTGTAGTACAACCATTCCCACCTTATGACTGAGTAAACTGAGGCACAAGGAAGTGAAATAGCTCACTTAAGTTCACATAGCTGGCCAGTGGCAGAGGACGATTCCACCCCTGGGTACCTAGCTCCAGTCTGTACTTCTGACCACCATGAATCACTCTCTTGTAAAAAGCAAACTGAGACCAACAATCACTCCAGCAAAAGCGGACAGCAAAGCCAGCCCAGCCAGGCAGAGACTGCGGATCTCCCTTTCTCTTAGGATCGAAGGACAGAGTTGGTAGATGTCTGTTTAGGGATCTTGCACCTCCTGCGTGCATTCTCTTGCACTGAGGACTTGGCAGCAGTGCTCCCAGGGCACCAGTGTTGATTTTGCTGCAGAGGGTTCAGCATTGATCTCGAACCTAGTACTGTAGTCTCCCATCTTATAGACGCACTCTGTCCCCGTGTAAACTCTACAGTATGAGAAGTTCTCATTTATTATGCAATGTGAAGCTCAGCAGCTATTTTGAGAGTGGTACTTCTCATAGCTCATAACAAGGGCATCTGTCATGTATTCATTGGCAAAAATATCTAACATTTGGTGGACGGGCTGCAGTAGAGCTTTGGGTCCCTGTGAAGCAGTATCAGATGCAGCTACTCTGCCTCCTTCTCACTCCCCCTTGTGCTTCAGGGGTGTAGTGGCCGCGTGCTCCAACCTTGCCTTCCCACTTGCTTCAGAAAAGGTCCAGCATGCTGCTGTCGTCTTCTAAGGAAACTCCCTTTTAGTTTTCCAATAGCTTTACTCCAAAGGCTCTTTTTTAGCATATTGATAACACATACATTCGTGTGTCAAGCTCATGTTTAACATTCTGTGAAATAAGTGGAGTTGGGGTGACACAGCTGTGTGGATTAAGGGTGCACTTCTGGGGCCCGGTGGACCTCGATTCCAGCCCTGGCCACTTGCCAGCTATTTGACCTTGAGTATATTGCCAGAACTCTTGATACCTCTGTCTCTTTACTTGTTGCACTGATTTTATGAGTATATATTTCGCAAGGTGGCTGTGAGAACTGAAAGAGACACCCATATAAAAAAATCGTCGAGCCCAGTGTAAGTCTCAACTGCTATAAGCAGTTTTTGTTGCCCTTTTCCTTGAACAATCATATCCAGCTTAAGTGCTGCCCTTAAAAATGTCCTGAATTCAGGCCATCCAAGTTTTTCCAAAATTAGCTTTGTGACTGCATTAGACTCTGTCCTCCGGGATGAGGTTAGGGTGTGCTGTTCACAGTTATGTTTAGCACCCAGGCCAGTTCCTGGCTCAGAGGTGCCCGGTAAGGTTTGCTGAATGAAAAGATGACTAATGAAGAACCCAGAGGGTGCTGATTTTCTGCTGAGGAAAAGATGGATCTAGAATGCTTTCACCCAGCCCCCAGAAATGGACAGAACATGAGGGAGAGGAGTCAAGTACCTAGTGAGATTGGATCTATCCACGACGGCTACCATGGTGGCAGACGTTCAATAAAGACTTTGTCAAAGGAATTGTGGGTGACAGGTGGCAATCTCATGTGCCAGCTGGGGTAGACAGGTGATGGGCACAGCTGGGCTTTGGTAGGAAAGGAGCCATATTTGGCCCTGTGGGGAGGTATCTGTGCTCTAAGGGGCTGTAGGGAGCAGGTTAAATGCAATTACTCTGGGGTGTTCTGCAGTATTGCAGTACAGTAGCAGCACATCTCCACTACGGAGCTCAACCTGGGTTGTCCAGCTTCCTGCAGCAGCTTCTCCTCCTGTCTGTGGCCCAAGTCTGCACTGGACTGGAGTCATTTGTGTCAGCCATCTTCCAACAACTAGGTCTGCACCTGTGCCTGAGGACTCCCCATCCCACCCACAGAGCCCCGGGACTGTTACAGCCCAGGAGCAGCCTTCAGGCAACAACTGTGCTCAGGCTCCTGGAGTTCCTCGAGTTTCCCTGCAGCGTGGAACCTCGTTTGCTTCCTGTGGGAGCTGACTTAAGAGTCTGCCTTGCATGAGCCCCATCCTCTTCTGGTATCGCTCCCCCTCTTCCCTCCTGGTGTCTTAGAACCTCCCCCAACAAACGGCTTTCACTAAATCCTCGATTCAGGCTCTATTTCTGGGAGAACTCAAGCTGAGACATCTGCCTTTCCAGGAAGACTTTCCTTTCACTCCCACCTCCACCACACACCATTCCCTTCCTCTTCCCTTGCTTCCTGTCCACCTTTGCCAACGAAAACAGAAGTTCTGTGGGGGGCAGACACAGATTTGTTCTGTTGTGCTCCTTTGCTGTTTGTGTTACTGCGGGTTCTTAGAACAATACCTGGCGTATAGTAGGTGCTGAATAATGATTTGATGGTTGAATTCATAAACCCATAGCTGTAGGTTAGCCCGACATGGTAAAATAGTATTGCTGCTTCATGTTTTAAATTGAGTTATTATACTGGAGGAATTCATTAAAAAAAATAACTTTTAAAAAGCACCTAGCTCTCCTTACTGTAAAGGCTACCTTTGTCCTCCCTGGGCTACATAGCCTTTACCTTCCTTTAGATTAGATTTCCTGGAGTCTGGCACAGGACAGCCCTTCTGTCCAAGGCCTGTGTCCTCCAGACTGGCACGGGCTGGGCTGTTTTACATCGGTGCCTGTACATGATTTCTAGAAGTCCCCTGGGCTCTGCTCTGCTGTGTGAGGGAAGCAGTTAATTAAGACTTACATTCCTGCAGCCTCTCGGGCTGTGTGCACTGGGGCTGAGGATGAGGCTGCAGCTGCCATCTCACGGAGCCAGCAGAAATGCTTTGTCCCCATGTGGTGCAGCCAACACAGTCTGGGAGGACCTCTTGGTCCAAGATCCTCTGGGAATCCAAGGGAGTGACTGTGTCTTATCTTTATTTCTCTGGCAGGGCAAGGTCTTGGGAATATGTGGGAATGTTGGGAGTGGAAAGAGCTCCCTTATTGCAGCTCTCCTGGGACAGGTAAGCTGTTTGGTGAGAGTTGTGAAGGTGGAGCCCCAGTGCGACAATGAAGCAGTTCCCTTCTGACAGTTTGGGGAATTTTGGGGCCAGTGGAACAGCGGATGCAGTGGATAGGCTCAGCTGCACTGGGTCTCGTACACAGAATTAACGATGATGACTTCTGGGCTATTAACACTCGGAAGCTCCAGGACCCTTGGTTAGACAGGGCTAAGCTTTTCACATGCTCCTGGGTTTGTCCTCTGTGACTTGTGTTAAACGATGACCACTTCCTTGCCTAGAGCTGCATCTGTGTCAGGAGGAGATGGGTTATCACATCCATGGCTTTTGCCATGACTTGGGCTGTCCTAATTTGGGAAAGCCAGCAAGGCAGCTTGGCGGAGGATAAAAGTGTCTGGGACTGGTGGTGACATTTGATGTGCTTTTTCCTTATTTGTGTCCCTATACCCAGTGTCTTCCCAGAACCAATGCTCGATGAAGCCAACCTCAGTGAAGGAGTGGCTGAATGAATGCATCTGCAAACCTCCTATAAGAGAGAGGGGCTGGATCCTGTGTTCTCTCTGATACCTCTGGCTGCATGATGCCAGGGGCAAGGGCTAGGCCATTTTACTACATTCCCAGGCCTCTGTGTTATCATGGTTTCTGAGTTGCATCCTAAACGAGTGAGAAATTTTTTGGAGGAAGATGTTAAATCCTTCTTCTCCCTACTCCACTAAAGAGAAGGTTGTACATCTGAGACTGCCTGCAGCAGAAAGAGGTTGGGGTGCCTCTAAAGAAATGAGGACCTCAGAGTGGAATAGGTGGGAAGTATTTTCTAAACTTCAATGTGAGTGACTTCCTTTGGCCTCCATGACTTCTCTGTAACAGAGTGACTACCCCTTCCCTATGGATAGGTGGAGGCTGAATTGGGTGGGCTCCCGAGGTGACCATGCTCTGGGATGCAGTGTGTGTACCACTGCTGTGATAGTAGGCTTTGGCAGCCATGTTGGGCCTGACCCAGCTCAGTTTTTTACCCAAGGATAGGAATCCTTATGACAGTCCTCATAAGAGATCCTCCAATCTGTGCTCAGGTATCTCCAGTGACCAGAAACTGTTTCCTAGTCAGTCTCACCTTTGGAGTGCTTTGATATGTATTGGAGTGAAATTTGTCACCTTTTAACTTCTATTCTGTTTTCTTCTCATTTGGGGCATCTCAGAGGGGGTAGGATCTGTCTTCCTGAGACAGTGGCGGGGTCAGGCTCCTCCCTGTGGTTGCTGGGTGGCTGGTAGTTGCACCAGTGAGCTCGAGACTGCCTGGGTTCATCGCCTGACTTAGCCACTGGCTACTGTTTAACCTTGGGCAAGGAAATTACCCTCTCTGAGGTTTGCTTTCCTTATCTATAAAGCAGGCCTAAGGAGAGAGCTGGTGAGGATTAAATGAGATAATTTTTGGAATAGTTGGATACAGGATGATTCTATGCTGATAAGCATCTTATATACACTCAACACAGTGCCTGGAGTGTAGCTGCACATTTTATCTATTACTATGACCGTTATCGTTAATATAATTGTCTCTTAGTCAAGTCTAATTCTGTGTCCCTGGGTGAA